TGATCTTCACCGGCAACGGTTACTCAGCAGAGTGGCCCGTGGAGGCAAGCAAGCGAGGCTTGCCGAACTTGAACACCACGCCCAAGGCCATTGCCACGTGGAGCTCCGAGAAGAACACCAAGCTTCTCGAGACGCTGAAGATCTACACCAAGGAGGAGACAGAGGCACGACAGGAAGTGATGTACGAGAACTACATTTCCTGCATTTGCCGCGGTCTCAGGAGCACTTCTGCTTGATGCTCAAGACCGGGCGCCGTGAGAGTGTTTTGTTGCCTTCTGCGGGTGAGGCTGCGAGGTGGAAACCATGATCCAGATGGTCGAGACCGGCTTTCTGCCTGCGTGCGCCAAGGAGCCTAGAGGCCTAGAGCCTACCTCGTCAGGGCTGGGGTGGTTCAAAAGCCTCAAAGCCTACAGGCCTCCCAAGCGCACGCGCGCTTCGTGTACGAGAACACGCTTGGAAAACTTGAGCCAGAGCGCAGGACCTGGACAAGTACAAGGGCGTGGACAAGCTGACTGGTAGCAGGAAGACAGTCTACGAGAACGTTGTGGACCAGGTCGAGAAGTTGCAGGCACTCGTTTTCAAAAGCAGGTCCGAGCAGGTTTTTTGAGACTGGCGATTCCACCTTGCCAGCCCTGAAGCTTCCGAGGCTGTCTACAAGGCCAAGCCCCACACCTCCCTCGCGGAGGAGGCCACCTACCTCTGCGACACCGTTAAGCCGGGAGCTCAGGATCTTACGAGGTTCTGGGATGTTCAAGCACCCTAGACCTTGTCAGACCCTCAACTCAGTGTTTTTAGGACTGAAGTGAGTGCCTGCCCTGACAGCAAGAGTGCTTCGATTTTGAGGTGCAGGTTCTGGATGCCCCTGTATTTCATACCAGGGGTCCAGTCAAGCGGTTAAAGCCAAGCAGACCCAGCCTTTCGGAAGGGCGCAGATGGTGGCTCTGCGAGCGGCTGCAACCCGTCTGCATCTGCAGAAGTTGAGCCTTCAGCTTTCGATCGGGAAGCGAATCGTCTGCACACTGACAATGTCTCTCCGAGGTGGACAAGGCAGAGACCATGATCGAAGCTAGCTTGTGCCTTGGCCGCAACCGAGCACTCAGTGACTCGTGCCTGCATGCCGCTGTTATCCGATTCAAGCATTCAAGTCACGTTGTCTTCGCAGGCAGCGGGTGCGCTCAATAGGGAGTCGAATGGATCCTTAAGGCACTTGTGGTTGTTTATGTGCGTGGCCAGGGCACCAGTGCTGAGGTATCCGTTCCCAACGTATGAGCGCCCGGCTCAGTTACGAGTTATGAGTGCTCTGGTTTCCTTGAGCAGAGAGCTACGAAATTAAACATGCTAACCTGCTAACTCTTTTTGACCTGAGGCAAATGATCTACTCTCACCATTTCTGAGCTGAAAGCTCGACCTGAATCGGACGACTCTGGTGCCAAGCACCGCCGAAGAATCCTGGAGGCTCTGAATTTGAAGGCTTGGACATGTTTGGTCAAGATCTTCGAGATTGTCAGTGGAGCTGACACTCGCGATGACAAAGTGTCGCGCAGAGCATAGCTAAGAGCGCGGATCTCCCGCAGACTTTCACCCTCTCATCTTTAATATACGGCCCTTGTGTCACACGTCAACCTTTAAGATGAATCGCGGGCAATCCGCAGGCTGCGCCCTTTGAGTGGTGTGCAGAACGCCAGTCCTTCAGTTTTCCCACACTCTGGATGGCTGTGTGCACCGCAACCTGCAATGAATCGACGGGCTGCTCAGAACCTTGGCAGTCTACTTGTGAGACCTGTAAGTTTTGAGAAGGTTTTCAAAGCCACGCGGAAGAGACAATAGTGCCAGATGGGGCTGCATGCTGCACTGTGCAGCTGAGCAGGTTCGCGTTGCTGCCGAAGCTTTCAGCATGAAGTCCTAAGCCTCTAAGGTCATTGTTTCTCCACCTTGGAGATGATGCCACGTGGACTGCACCGACACACAGCTTTGCAGTTTTACTAGTTATATTTAGCAAGCTGTAGAAGTGAGGGGCGTAATGCACATGAGGGGTACAAAGCCCATTCCGGCCCAGACTTCGAAGCTTGTTTCCTGCATGCGACTCGTTTCGCGTGAGCTCGAGCTGCAGTCGCAGAGAGGGGCAATGTCCTAATCGACGACGGACGGGGCCTTTATCTTGGACGACTTGTCTTCCCGAATTCGTCCGTGGACATGTTGTGACCGTTTGAGCGATGTGGCCTGGCAAAAAGGCTCATTCCAGGATGTTGTTCGGTAGCGGAGGGAAGACTGGAATCTTTGTCAGAAGCTGCAATCCGCCTGTTGGCCCACACAGGATTTTTGCTTTAGTGCCCTTCCAGCCTGCCCTTGTCAGTCATGGCGCGCTCCTCCTACCCTGCCTCTCTTCAGCAAAGAGGGCTCGCTTTTATGTTCTCTCTTTCGATGCATGCGATGACAGGTCTGTGCCGCCGTCTTCGTTGCTACGGCGGTGCTAGGCCAGGCTTCGCCTCATCTCGAGATGTGATTCGAAGGAAGGTGACGAACACGTCCAGATGAGCTCTGAGAGATCCTGTTTGGACGCCTGGAGGCAGCTGCTTTTTGACCGGGCCTCCTGCAGCCCACCAAACCCCCCGTGCGCCACAGACCTCGGCTGCCGGCACTGCACCGGAGGCCCAGATGTGGTGGTTCGTTTAGAGTTGTAGCCTGAAGCATGCTTTCGGCATGGAAGGCGCCGGCAGAGGGCTTCGCTTGGGCCACTCGGATCAGCAGCACAATCGGTGCCGCCATGTGCCACCACTTCTTCAGCCGAGGCTGCCCCACTGCTGAGCATCGGCGCGGCCTTGGGCCGCTTCCCTTCAAGATGTTCTTCTCTGTCCAAGCCAAAGCCATCAAAGTCCCTGCTCTGACTGTGGAGCCGAGGCGTCTTGCTGGGAGTGGCTGCGTCGCCAGCCAAGGCAATCACGGCCGAGCAGTTCAGTTGCTCGGCAAGGCAAAAGCAAAAGCTAGAACGACAGGCGGACTTTGGCTTCGTGTGTCGTGCGTGGGCACTGGATGTGCCACTACAGAACTCAAGTCTGCAACGCACGGAGAACACTTGCCTGAGGCCAGCTCACCTACGCGCAGGTGAAGGGCAGCGGTCTCGCCAACCGCTGCCCCACAGTGGAGTCCAACGGCTCTGAGGTGCCTGTGACGGGAGGCCCCACAGCCGCACACATCGTTTCTATTTCACTCTTACATGTCAGATGCGGCAAGCAGATGCGCAGGTTCCCGCCTCGTGAACGTCTGCTTCGAGCCGAAGTCCTTCGCTGTTGAGTTCGAGACTGACAAGGGCAAGGATGGATTGTTGAGCCCAGCACACTTAGCAAGCTGAGCAAAGATTTGAAGGCTTTTCACAAACATGCAGGAGTTTGCCACCACCAAGCTCACCACCCGCCAGACTTACACCCTGGCCTTCATCGAGGGCTCTCTGGACGCAAACCCCATCACCTTCAAGGCGAGACTGACACGCCCGAACTCCGTTGGAGCTCACATGTGTTGAGCCCTTCGCAGGAGCAGGATGGCATGGACTTCGCGGCCACCACCGTGAAGCTCCCCGATGGTGAGTACGTGCCATTCCTCTTCACGGTCAAGGTCCCTGATCTCGAGTGTGCACAGTGCTAAGGCTAAGGGGAGTGCTCTCTCGTTGGAACTTTGCAGGAGTTGGTTGCCAAGGGTGAGGGGAGCTCCTTCAAGCCCGGCTTCACCTGGGGCGGTGAGTTCAGCGTCCCGTCCTACCGAACTGGAGGTTTCTTGGACCCTAAGGCCCGCCGCAAGCAGCCTGCAAAGCAGCCTGCAAAGCAGCCTGCAAAGCAGCCTGCAAAGCAGCCTGCAAGTGCTTGAGTCTTTGGATTTCTTGGGCAGGGCCGCGGCATGACCCTCGGCTACGACCAGGCTGTTGCCTTGCCGGCCATGCAGTCCGATGGACAGGGCGGCCAGGATGAGCTTTTCAAGGAGACCAACAAGGCAAGGCACGGCCGGAGCCCAGGGATGGCGGTTGAGATGCCCTTCCGTGTGTCAGGTGTTCGATCTGGGCAAGGGCGTCATTGAGATGGAGGTCAACAAGGCAGGTACTGTAGGCAGGTAGAGTCGAGTCATGCAAATGGCAAGGGGTGTCGGGTTTGGCTAAGCGCACTCCGCCGGAGGTGAACCAGGAGCTGGGTGAGATCGGCGGCGTGTTCGTGTCGAAGCAGCCATCCGATACCGACATGGGTGCCAAGGCGGGGCACGATGGTCTTAAACAATTGTGAATCGTCGCTTATACTGTGCATTTGATACTTTCCGGCCGTAGAAGTCTTGTGATGCAAAGTAGATGGTTCGAGGCCCCACGCACAGTTCTCCTGAAGGGCATTTTCTACGGCAAGGTCGTCAAGGCCTGAGAGGCGCCAACCCTTTAAGACTCCCGCGCCAGACCTTGCTTGAAGCGACCCGGGGGTGAAGCTTAATTGAAACTTGGAGTTGGCACTGTTGGAGTGGCAGAACCCTCGGGTCGTCTGACTGCCAGCGCTGCCAAAAAGCATTGCGTGTTTGCCACGAGAAGATTTCCGAAGGTGTCGGACAACTGTATGGACGGATGACGTCAGCCTGTCTGCTTTGATTTGAGTTATCGGAATCCTGAATCCTCTGTCGATGGCCCAAGACTCCACAAACATCGACTGAACATGCCAACACCATGTGACATTATCAGGCATTGCATAAGCGTTAGCTGTGTTCCAAGACCTGCCCCCAGCATCGGGGGCTTGGAAGATCCAGATGCACGCAATGTGCGCCTGGCTGCTAGCCTTGGCCTTGACCCCTGCATGCGCAGCGGCCAAGACCAAAAACCAAACGGAGGAGGGAGATGACTCCGTGGCTGGGCGGCAGGTGCAGCACCTCTGGGAAAGTTGAGGACGGTGTCGGAATCTAAGGCGATGCTGTTCTTCTTTCTGGCGATGCTGAGCTGCCTGCTGGTGCCGTGGACTGCAGCCGTGGTGTGGCACCTACTCTTCCCGGGCCGTGCCGAGGCGGGTGCAGGGTTCACGAATCAGCATATTTTCAGGTGGGCCCTCGCCGACTGTCGAGTTGCGAGTCTTGGTTCGGGAATCTGCATAACTGAGTGTTTGAGGTGGCGAAGGCTTTTCCCGAGACCAGCGAGCACGGCTCGCGCGTGCGCTACTGCCGAACACAGGCCATGGAGGCCGGGTTCAGAGGGCCTTCTGGGTGGTCTGAGGCTGCCGGGCAAGCCTGGGATAGCGTGGGGTCCTGGGTGGTACGTCTCCATGTACTTGGGTTGGAAGGCACGACGTGATGCGGCGCTGAAAGAGCTGACGCTCGCTGCAAATGGTGAGAGGGCCAAAGCCGGGTTACTAATTCGCAACATGGAAACTGCGAGCCTTCTTTTACCGATCTTCGCATATGCAAAGTAGATGTGGCCTTCGTTCATGTGGGAAGCCTGATTCAGTTTGCGCTAGAGGAGATCTCGAAAATTTTCCGCCGGCTTCGTGGTGCAGCTCGCCTGCACTCGAAGTGAGAATCACCCAGTGTCCTCATTCTGAGGTGCAGGCGGGCTTGTTCTAAGACGATGAGGCACAAGACTCTTCACAGCTGAGGCGCCTTGTGATTCTGATGCTTCTTTGGTGCTGGCTTACCTACATCATCATCCAGGCCCAAAGTCGCTGTGGCGCTGGGTGGCGTATCCTTGAAAGCACGGCAAAGCGCAACCCCTGCGGCCACACAACAGCTGTTTCCTAGACACGCCAGGTCAGGCAGGTCTTGGCGACGAGTGCGTTGCACCTTAGTGGCACAGAAGACGAAGGCCGTCCGAACTCCCCATCTCGTTGAGACTGATTTTGTATACAGAATTCTGCTAAAGCTTATCCTGCAGGGACACGTTGAAAGAGGGGGATCTCTTGCCGTACGGCTCAGGTATCAGAACTTCGATCCTTATGAGATCCTGGATGTTGGCATGACCAGCTCCACTTCTCAGGTCAAGAGTCTCGGAGATCACTTGTAAACTTGTTGTACACGCAGGGCACAGGCAGTGTAATTTTGGTGATTTGCCGTTGCCGCTGCTTTTCACAGTGGACAAGATCAAGGAAGGCCTTCCACAAGCTCTCCCTCAAGTACCATCCTGACAAGAATAAGGAGGAGGGTGCGGCCGAGAAGTTCATGCTCATCAAGAAGGCCTGCATCGTGCGCGAGTGGATGTGCCAAAATCCTTTTGGCTCTTGATTCGGATGGGCTTCGGCAGGCATACGACGCGCTCACGGACCCCGTGGCCAAGCATAACTACCGCTTTGGCCCTGGTTCACTGAGGGGCAACACATTGGGCGAGTTTGTTGTTATGAGGATGCTGATGTTTAGGCTGATGATGATGGTGGTCACGACGATAGCTATCTCTATCTCGTAGTCATTATTCGACTAGTCTCGTTATTGATGCTAACTCTTCGTAAAGGCTTTGCAGTTATTGCCTTTTGCCCTTTTACTTTTAGCATGCAGTTGTGGGACAGGTTATGCATGTGCATGTATATGTAGTTGCACACATGCATGCTCATGCGTGGTACAACCATCCAATTTGCTGCAGAGTGCATGAGTACTGAGTACATGCAGAGTGTTTGAACGTAACTAAAAGCTGGCTGTGCTACTGCTTTATTACCTTATGGCCATGATCATTGTGCTGCTGATGTGACCACCTCGTTTCCCAGGAACCTACGGCAATCCGGATGGACCTACTCGCGTCCAGCTTGATGTAGCGCTCCCGACGATTAGCAAGGCGCAGGGCCTTCGAATTCTATCAGTTTCATGGTTTCATTCAAGCAATCCGCGAAGTTCTTTGTGAGGAGAAGCAGGGATTGGTGCTAGTGCTTTTCCTCCTCCTGTTTGTCATCGGCGTGCCGTTATTGATGCTGTACTGCATGCCGCTTGGACACAGATCAGTAGCTGCTCCAGCGGGATGGGATATTTTCACATACCATATTCTCCAGATCCACTGCTTGCCCCGTTCTAGTGGCACTTCTTGATGTCTAGCAGCACCACTGAACTCTCTGCATAAGGAAAAGTTTGCCGCAGTTGCGTTCACTGCTTCCCCTCTGCGAGAATTGCCGGTTTTGCAACTGCGGTTTCGAACTTTACCGACTCGATTTCAAGCAGGCTTTTGCAGGGTAGAGCACCTCAAAATGGAAATGACTGATCTGTTGGAAAATTTGCTCTGAATCTCTCAGGCCTGCCCTGGTGCACTGAAAAGACCAAGACTGAAACCTGAAACATCAAACAATACAACAGGACACGACACTGATTTTCCTTCTCCTGCTGTGGGCTCCTGTCGCCTGGCTGGGCGGTTTCTTCAGTTCCTGACACTTCAGCCCTTCTCCCGCGAATGATCCTTACTTACTCCATCCAACCGATGGAGAAGAGGGTGACAGAAGTGTCCTCAAATGCAAACGCAGTTCTTTGCTGATGTGTCCGTGCAGGGGCTCTTCGTCTGTCGACAACAACGGGCTTCCCCGTGAAACGAACAAGGCGCTCTATCGCATGGAAAGCCAGAGTCCACAGGCTTGCGTCACTTGTGATTTTTGGTGCCAGGTCTTGGCGGAAGGGTTCTCTCCGTCACTGGACGCACGAGACCTGCAGGTCCATCTCCATGCATGTGCAGATCTTTCCCGGGCTCGTTATGCGGGCTCATTTTCGGAAGTCGTTTCGCTTCTTTACAATCCTTTTGGTCATTGTCCATGTGCAATGTGTAATGCACAGGAGCTAATTCTGAGAGCCTATGCGGCAGCAGAGAAGCCCAAGAAGGAGGTGCGGACGCATCCTCTTGTTTCACGGGAAGCTGCACTTCTTCGTTGCTGGGAGGAACAGGAGCCGTTGGACCAGCTCCGGCGAGAGTCGCTTGACCTGTCGGAACTTTGCAGTGACGTCAGATTTTTGTTGCCTCCTGCCAGGTTGCAGGCAGCCGGTGCCAGCTTCTCAAAAGGCAAGCGAGCTGAGAACGGTGAGGCGGGGTTGGGCCTGTGCAATGAAGCTTGTCTCTTTCTTGTGACCGTGAAGGGTTTAGGGCCTTGCAGCGGCCTTGCAGGCAGAGAGCGCAATGGCTCTGCAGCGAGCAGTTGCTTGGGCTGTAAATTTCAGAGGCGTCGCTCGACAGCTGTCAACAGCTGATTCGCGATCCAAGGAGACATGCTTTTGGGGGCACATCCTGCGGAGAACTGATCTTCTCGAGCGCTCCAGCGAGTTGGACAGCGCACTCAAGCAGTGGCAGGCGTGGCCCTGATCAAATTTAAGGCATTCTTGTCATTGCTTCATGTGCTGTGAGTTTGATGCCAGGTCACTTGCAGATTTCTCCTTCAAGAAGCTGCCTCGCACGGCTTCGGGCCCAACACACGCTGCAGCTATTGCACGAGTTCCTCAACCCTAATCCGGATTCTCAAACTCCGGACAAGCTGAGGGCAGGCAGACAGCGTCAGCAGCTGCCTGGATTTCTACAGGGGCCTCGTGCAGGTCCGCAAGAAACGATGTTGATAGAGCCTCATACCGGGCAATCGGAACAGATGCTCGGGACGGGACGGTGGGGGGTTCTTTGAGCGTATGATGGCATGTGTTGACGCCGCCACGATTCAACGAGGTAGGCGCCTAAACCCTAAGACGTATCTCTGACCTGCCGAAAAGTCGAAGAGAGGGCTCGAGCCTGCTCGAGCCTCGAGCATTCTGCGAGGCCGTGGAGCCTGCAGCTTCCAGCAAGCCAGGATCCGTGCTGTCGCAGTGACTCGGCATGGGACGAATTTCAGGTAACTGCTGCAGCCCGATTTTTTTGGGCTCTGTTGGGGATGGGCCCGCACTTTTTTTTTTTTTTCC